ATTTTAAAAACTTTTAAAACTGTTTTATTTTTACCATTCAGCTTGTTTCCATGGAAATGGGATCAAAAAGATTGTCAGTAGCTAACACTTTAAAGTGAGAATTCGCTTGCAGATTTCAAGAGATGACTCCCAGCTGAGTGCTGCAAATACTGATATCAAAAACAAGCAATAAAGTATGTCACAAAAATGACAGTAATAGAAGAAACAATTAAAATATTAGGAAAACACTTTTTTTTTTTCCAGTGAGGGAAAACCATCTTTTTTCCCTACCTGGGAGTGATGATTATACAAATGCTTATTTAAATGTCCTTGGGTATATAATGTACCTGTACAGGTCTATACCTATATTCAGACTGTTTCTTTGGAGAGCTTCATCTTTAAAAGAGGCACCATAGCCCATCTCTTTTTTTTATTAAAAATCTGATCTGTTTTGAGTGGGCATCTGTGAGAGATGAGGCATATATGTCAAAAAAATCATACCACTTCAGGTTACATCTCCGACCTTTTTTTTTCCTCCCCAAATACTGGGCTACTTCTCTATGTAACTTGACAATTATGTTTCCTATATTACCCAGTCCTCTGAAACAAAAAGGGTAAAATAGATCTTTTAGCCATTTCCTTTGAAAAGGAAATATTTCTTCTGTTGTTTGATAGGTTAAAAGATTTATGACCTTTGAGGACTTGCCTTTAAAGATGCTTTTTAGAAGGGAGTCAAATCCAAACAGTGACTGAAGACAACAGGTTTTGTTCCCCAGTTTCCTATCGCATGTTTGTTTGGAGGTGCAGCTTTTCCTCCTGTCATGGAGGGCTGATATTTAGCTCTATGTTTTGTTCAGCAACCAAAGATCAGAGTAGAATATTTTACACAGGAATCCTGTTGTGTCTACTTAATATCAGTATGAATATCCAAGTGCAATGCATGGTCTGCACCACCTTTTCTTATTCAGTGCCTGAAAGAACTAAGGTGCTTTGGAACTAAGGTGCATTGGTTATGTATGTGTGGGTACTGAATCCTTGATTTTTAAGGAACAGTTACTTAACCAGCGAGTGAAAGAACAAGGAGAAAGAAACTTTCCAGCTTAGAACACAAACAGTGTCTATAAGATTGGAGAGTTTCTTTCATTCTCTAAACCCCTGGCTAAGGGCTTGGGCCTAGATGACCAGGGCCACCATCCCTTTCTGTAAACGAAGTAAAGAGACCTTGAACTGTTCAAGGCACTGAAGCTGCCATCCTAAGGTTACTGAGCTACAGCTGGGGTTGATGCCCAAGTAACTCCTATCTGAGAATATTAATTTATCAGTGAGCCTGACAACTTATGGGAAATGTGTCAATCACTGTTATTTCAACCCATTAAAAGTTAAGACATTTTCAACTCCCTCATGTAACTTACTCCTGTTAATCAGAAGAGCTTCTCACAGCAGCGTTTACTATCAAAATAAAATATTGTAATGAATTCTTTGAGCGCATATAGGGCTCATGCCATTACAGTGCAGAGCATGTTCTTTTGTGGTGCCTTTGTGGAGGGCTGGGGATGAAGGACAGGGTTGGCTAAAATGCTTGCACTCCTCCTGTATTGTTTCTGGGGAAAGTTCCCTGTTTGTATGGCAGATCCTCGGTAAATCACTCCCACTGTCAATTTAGCATACCTTGCATTCAAGCAGCACCGTCTGACCACAGTAAGGCCAGGATAAGGCCTTATCTTAAGAAGCCAATCATGATTTAAAGATGATAGTGGAGATGCATTAAGTTATTGAAATAATTCTGATATCTTCAGAGAAGCTATATCTACTTCCTGAAACTGTCCCACTATGTTTACTCTTCTTTGGAGTGGTAATATTACTTCTAAACAAATTGTTTTCTCATAAAAAAGTATTTTAATGTCAAGTGCAGTGTTTTTGTAATGCTCACAGTGGATAAAACCTTTTTTAGTACAACATACTGAATTGTAATAAATAGCTCCCTGCAACTTTCTCAATCCATGTATGGTGTTCAGTTTAAACTAAAATACGAAGAGCAAGAAAGTGGGGAAGATTTGAAAAGAAATGTTTGTTGCATATAGTTACTACAAGAGAAAAATAGGTTATTTTCTCTTTATAGAGGCATCTCTACAGCTGTTAAATTTTACTGAAGTTCTAAAATGAAACATATTATAAAGTAGCTTGTAGATAAAGGGAAACACCTTTCATCCGAGTAAAGTCTTAGAATGGCTTGTAACCTCATCACACATTTTGTATTTGAACCTAACAAGTAATCTGTAATTTTTTTTTTCTTGAAATCTTCAAATTCCATGGTCCTCTATTTCAGTGGCATTTACTCCTCATTTAGGCCACACCTGGGAGTAACACAGAACCTCTTACCTGTGTGGATTGAGGCACAAATGAACTTGGACAACACTCTGTACTTCCCTTTGTTTTTCTAAATCTACATTGCAATTATTTCTGTCATGTTTAAATTTCTATTGTGTAGTTTAAATATTGGGACAAAGGTAATAGATCCTTGGTGCATGTGCTGCATCTCAGTAAACAAATGGGTATCAGTGGGCCAAGAGAATTGGTTTAAGTAGGCTCTTCCTGCATGTTTTTACTTGTTTGAAGGCAGGGAGTTACGAGTTTTAATTGTGCTTCATTTAAAATGCTTTACTGTTTGGGAATTTTCAATCAATTTGGGCTGTGTAGGTTTGTGCACAGCAAAAGGAGGAGACCTTGTCCACCAGAACCTGGAAGTGTCCTTTTCTGTTCCCAAGCACCAAATCTGCTTGGAACCCAGCATAGTGCTTGCTGCAGGGTAGTTTTCCATCATCATTCAGTATGGGATTTGGGGTCCATGGCACAAGTATGGGTACTGTGCTAACTAGTCCTTCGTCAAGCAATTTTGACTAAATCTGCATTGTTGTTTATTTAAGCTCACAATTAATGCTGAAGTAACAGCTTTTTCCCTAACTGAATGCACACTGAACTCTCCGAAGTCAGAAGTCCTTGGCAATTTAGGAAGAGCCGTGTTTGCCAAGCCTGTGCGCCATAGTTTGGCCATCATACAAAAAGTACATTTTATGGTTCTGACCCTGTCAGCAAGATGCTGGCCTTCCACTCCCACTGTGCTAGGGAAGAGTTCCAAGAAGTGCTGAGTTATATTCGTATGCCTTGACTTATCCTGGTTTTCTGCAGAGCCCTCAGACCCGCTTTGCAGTCAGTGGGAATCACAGCCCTACAGTCACACGTGGCTGCACGTGAAATTCCTTTTGGCCACAGGAAATCCAACCACCATTTAAAATGAAAGTTTTGCAGGCTAATGGAGCCACAGGTCAGTGTTGCTACTACTTCTACTGGTTGTTCTGCAGACACCTAAGGAAAAAGGTGCTTCCCCCCACCTCCTTCTTGGCTCTTAATAATCACAAGGCAAAGCTGGCTGGATTTTTCTATAAGTGTTCAAAATGAGCCTCAAAAGTCATCTGGTATGTAGGGACTTTTCTGAAAATGAAGACCTACCTAACTGTTAATTGATGTCTTCATCTGATTCTGTGGAAAAAAAAAGTGAACAAATAAGTCTTTTATCAGACTGAGATTTATACTTCTGAATGATAATAGTTTTTGCTTAGAAATGGTAAACTGGTGGGCCATGGGCCAAGTGAACTTTATTTACATTAGTGGTGTAATAGATACCGTGAATATTCAAGCTCTCCACTAGTCAGCATGTATTTTTGGACTGTAACTTTGGACTACAAGTTTGAGAAAATTGGTAAGAGGCAAAATACTCCATGAACTGTTTTATACTACTAGCTGCCTCTTCAACTTAAAGTATCTTTTAAACAAATTAGCATGCAAATGATTTCAAATAAATGTGTTAATAATCTGAAAAAGTATGCCAAAACATAAACATTGAATAGTATGCATTTTGATGGGTTTTTTAGCATTAAAATGCAGTAGTCTAGCATTTCGAGTAATACTTATGAAAGGTGTTTGGCTTGTTGGTGTATTCGTATGAATCTAGGACACTATGAGAACAGTCCATCTAAAAGGCCGTGCTGAAACATCTTGTGGAATGTACAGCTTTTAGATGCAGAATTGTAGGTACTTTGTGTTTTCATGAGAAAACATACATACCTAATGCTATACTGATATTAGGACTCCTTAGTGTAAAAAAAGAGTCAATTGCATTGAAGTGATTTTGGGCATCTGGTAATTATTTAAAGTTGCAGATTATTAAAGTAAAACATTTGACAAGTGTTTCACTTACAACATATGGATAATTTTTCGTAGATTTGTGTTTTTGAGAGCTTCCATGTAGGAATTTCAATCAAAATCTGTTAAGAAAATCTCTTGACATTAATATAAAACTTGAAAAACAAATTCCTCCTTCATCTCCAAACTGTAAGAAAGAATTAAAAAGGGCAACAAAATGACAATGCCTTTGGCAGATTTTTTTTTAATAGGAAATAAGTGTAATACAGACTCCACTTTCGAGAAATGTAACAGTTGCACAGTCAGTACACAGGGGCTCTAAAACGCAATTAACTGTAGCCTGCACCTGTACCTCACGTGTGCACCAAAACGCACTGGCTGCCTCATTCTTGGCCTGTGCTGAACTCCTGAACCTTGGGAGTTGCTCAGCTGGCTGCCATGTAGCCAGCCCCAGGGCATGCCAGATAGCACCATTTTAGCAATACTGTGACACAGCTGATTGCAGCAAGCGCCCAACAGTGTTCTCGGGCTTATTAGATTTACTAATACAGATGCGGCCAATGTCTTCCTCTTCCACTGAAGCCACATTGATTGAAGACTTTTTTGCTAATTTATCAGAGTTTTTGAAATGCAAACTATACTACCTCTCTGTAGTTAGTACATGTTCTTATTTTAGCTGTAGTTGATATAGCCTTTTATTACAGTCATTCTTCTTTAAGTAACATAGTTTAATTTTATTAGGTCAGTTAAACTTTAGGTGTGCATTTATGTATTTATTTGTTGTGGTTTGTTGCTGTTCAAACAATTTATTTTCTTTTCAGTGGGATGCCATAACTGAGATGGATGAACACAATCGTCCCATTCATACTTACCAGGTATGTAATGTGATGGAACCAAACCAAAACAACTGGCTTCGAACAAACTGGATCTCCCGTGATGCTGCACAGAAAATTTATGTGGAAATGAAGTTTACCCTGAGGGACTGCAACAGTATTCCATGGGTATTGGGAACCTGCAAGGAAACTTTTAACCTCTACTACATGGAGTCAGATGAATCTCATGGAGTAAAATTCAAGCCAAACCAGTATACTAAAATTGATACCATTGCAGCTGATGAGAGCTTTACCCAGATGGACTTGGGTGACCGCATTCTTAAACTCAACACAGAAGTTCGTGAGGTTGGGCCAATAAACAAGAAAGGGTTTTATCTTGCTTTTCAGGACATTGGAGCATGCATTGCTTTGGTCTCAGTCCGTGTTTATTACAAAAAGTGCCCTTTCACAGTCCGTAACTTGGCTATGTTTCCTGATACTATTCCAAGGGTTGATTCTTCTTCTTTGGTGGAAGTACGGGGCTCCTGTGTGAAGAGTGCTGAGGAACGTGATACTCCAAAATTGTATTGTGGAGCAGATGGGGATTGGCTTGTGCCTCTTGGGCGATGCATCTGCAGTGTAGGATATGAAGAACTGGATGGCTCCTGCCATGGTAAGTAAACAGCCTTTCATGGAAATCAAATTATGATGTTATATGAACAGCAAATAGCCTGATTGTGTATTGGAAACAGTGCATCACAGTGTTAAGGAATGGTGGAAAACAGAAAAAGAAAGGTCATTTACAGTCATGATAAGTTGGTTTGTAAGAAAAACTGTAGTTGCTAAAGGTGATCTTTGTTTTGTCTGACTATAGGTGCCTGCACTGCAACTGTCTATAGATCAGCTAGTCATGTTGACTCCTCTGCTCAGTGGAAATGTGCGCTTCAGGACAGTACAGAGGGTGATACGCTGTGATGGACAGGTGTAGAGGCACAGTGAAGTGCCTCCGACCTGCATAAAACATATCTTAGGATGACATTAGAAGTGACTGAAAAAAAGGGCCTATTTTTCTCCATATTTCTAAAAAGAGAATGTAGTCAGTTCAACAGATTTTTCCTATATAAGGAATTAGAGATGACTCAACCTGAATAGGCGATGCCATGGTGTGTGCTGCTGTAAAAGAGGGTTTTAAGTGCCCCTATGGTTAACATGCATTTTAATGTGGTAGAAAATCAGTAGGAATGAAGTTCAATTGCAGGAGTTTGAGTCTCTGTTCAGAATTAATGCAAAAGGTTTAAATCAAAAGTATTCAGAAGTGATTCATCACAATACTAGTTACACAGCATTACTTATACTGACATTTTATAAAGAATGATGCAAGAATATGGTAAGCTAGATTGTTTATGAAACAAGTGTCAGAAGATCAGAGTTAGTTGCTGAATGTTGTTTGCCACCTTCTTATATCTTGAAGAAATGTCTACCTTAGGAAAACTATTTTATGATTTCTTTTGGAGACTCCACACTGTGTGCACATAGTATTGCACCTTGTCAATTTGGTAGAGAATTAATGATGTTTCGAATCAGGGTAGTAACTTGAAGCAAACTACAAACAGAATATATTTTCTTTACTTATCAGGAAAACATCCATGGGTAGGAGAGTGATCATATGCAAGAGCAGATAGCGTATCTTCTGCAGAATCCTCATGTTGTTCTGTTTCATTAACCCTGCCTGTGCCACTTACTAATGCACAGCTGGAAAAATTTGGAGTACTTCAACTTCTGAGCTGTACAGAACATGAATACATAGCTAAAATGTCAGAAATCCTGTGCTATGCCTGGGTAAGCGTTTGAGCTTTTGTGGATTCAATTTGACACTAATATCTGTAGAGAGTGTGCCTGCTAAGACTCATTTTCCACCTGTCAGGACAGGTAACATTTATTTAATCATAAAAGGCATGCAGCTTCTTGTACTGAAAAGTTTCCTGGTAGTTAATTCTTTTGTCACCTTCCGAAATAACCAGTATACTAAAGAACAAAAGTCTACCTTTATATTCTTTTATTTTTTGACATTGTATAATGGGTTCATGTAGATCTGGGAAGGAGAGGTATTTTTTCTGTAACTGTTGCTTGTAAAGAAAGCTTTGCTAGACATTGAGGTCTGCTTTGTTTCAACATTTGACTTGTGGCAAAAAGACAAAATAAAGGTCCATGTACGTAAATTACGTAGATGACATTGCTATTATCTACGTATTTTGGTCGAAAGCTACCGAGTTTCAATCCCAGGCAGTCTGTACAGCACCCGTAGATAGTATGGAGCATTCAGTGTACACGTCATCAAAAACTGCGCCACCAGAATGAGACAGAATAAGTAAATGTTAAAGTATCGAAATGTGATGATTTTGACAACATACATTACTTGGTACATTGCTGGAAATCAGTATAATATTCTACGTAAGGTCAAAAGGCTTCTCTATTAATGGTATAAGGATTTTCTTCACGATACTAATGCTGAATGGATTTCTGCCCATTACAGAAGTCGTGCACTAGAAGTGTATATGAGGAATCTAACCAGTAGCCTAAGCCTAACGCCAAACCCTTCTGCTTTATGTTGACTCTATTCACTTATTCAGTTGGCAGTGTGGATGTGTGCCCCCTAAATGAAATACCTGGCTTGGGTATTTGCATGCTCTTATCTCTTTCCTCTAAGAGTAGGAGATTGTTTTAGGTGGTCATAGTCTAACAGAGCTTGCATATATACATTGAGATAACTTTCAGAAGTGTCTAGTTATTAAACATTTGTTCATTTGTGTTATCGCATTTTAATATTAGTACTGCTTTTCCTGAAAGTTTCTCAGAGTATTTGTCTTGTATTCCTTCACGTATGTCCTGCTAAGGACAAGCTCAGTAACATAAGGTACTTTCAAAACGGAACAGCAAGAGTTTAATTCCATTTTCCATATTCACTGATGCCCACTCAGCAGTTTTTATGCTTAACCTGTAACTCAGGAAAGAAAATATGATAGGTGCTTTTCCACTTGTTCTTAAACTACTCGTGGAGATGCACGCAACACTGGCAGCTGATTTTTTTCTTCTTTTTATTTCACCTTTGCAGTGAATATTTGAGAATTGTGAACTGAATCGAGATTGCGCCAATTAAGTGGATACCAGTCCCCCCAAACAATGATAGTGTCCTGTCTCGAGGCTTTGCTTTTAGGGCAAAATATGAACCAGAAGTTAAGAATCAATACATCCTGAACTGGATTTTTCATGACCATTAAAGATTAAAACATTTGAATATTACTTATTTGCTATAAAAAAAAACCCTTAAACTTACATTTCAATTTCTTTTCATAGAAACAAAGAGGTGAAAGGAACATTGCTACATTTTGATTGTCTATGAAAAACTTAGGTGTGCTGACACAATCTTTTTTTTTCCCTCATATTTTTCCTCTGCTGCCCAGTCTCAAACCAGAGACCCTCTTTTTGCTGGTGTGCCATCGTCACAGTGTTGGGGGTATTCAGGGTCACCCTGTCTGTGCTCAGATTCTGTGATGTACTGGATAGGCTGCAAAAGCAAGAGAAAAGACAAGCTAAATGGTTACTGCCTGCAAACAGGAACTAATCCAAACTGTTTAGTAACTTCTTTTCTTCCACATCAAAATAACTCTCAAAACAGGAATATTTTGTTCTGAAATCTGTTCTGGTAGGTAATTGGGTGGTGGGCAGGGTATAGGCTAGTACTTGAATATTTTTCCTATTTGCAAATGCAGTAAAATTTCAAACTATACATAAGCTTATGGTTCAGTGGGGAATAGTAAGCTCTTTATGACAAATACAGTTTATCTGTCACAGGATTTTAAAAATACATTTCTGTGTTGATATTTCTGGAACTAAGCACTCTCTCGTCATGAAGTACCAAACTGCATAAAGAATGGTGTGGTATGTTAATTTGCTTATAGTTTCACAAAGCAGCAAAAAGAGGAATGAGGAAGTTTTTGATCAATTTTACCACTGCAGTTAAAATTGTGGGATAGCAACTAAAATGAATCTTGGCAATACAGAGCAACCAAGCTGGCAATGTTTGTTATGTCAAAATTTGTTGGTTCTGTGTGCATTTCTGAAGGCATGTGACAGTTTCTTCATCTACTTGTGAGCCTAGTGGTTTTATCCATCCACTCTTGTCTGCTCTTAAGAACATCATTTAAGAATGAATGAAAGTTTGAGCAGAAGAATTGGCAACTGGGTTAAAATATCAATATTAAATATGCACATAAATGTGTCTAGAACAGGTCAGAGACCCTCTGATGGAGAATTCTTCATGAAGTCAATGGCAAAACCCACAGAGGTTTGGGATTATTCGTTTATTGTGTAAGGATTTAAATTGAAAAAATACCATCTTCTCTGAGCTAATCGTGCAACTCCATCTACCCCTTTTTGATTCAAATCTACTTTTGAGATATCACCAGCATTCCTTGCTTCCTGTGGTTCTTTAAGCATTTGTAAATGAGTTACTGCCAATTATCTGGCAGCACTAGCAGTAAATAGGAGCTGCTGGCCTCAATAAATCACTGGTACCAGTCCCATTCACATACAAGTTAATTTCAGCATAAAAGAGGGAGATATGCACAGCATTTTGATGCACATGAGTTGTAATTATGAAGTTCAAAGTGATATCTTATTAGGATTTTGCTTCAAGACAAAAGTCATGCTGGATTTAATATATTCATAATGTGCAGGGTATATCAGAGTTTCTTACACGAAAGGAAACCATCGTGACTTGGAACAGAGAGTTACTTTTGGGTTGTGAGGAAAGGGAAGATATAAATCATACTGGCTGTAGTTGATTGCAGAAGGAATAAGTATATATTTGACAGGCATCTGCACTGTAATAAGGATAAATGGATATGTTGGGAAATAAAACAAGCAGATGGTTCTTGAATATGAAATATGAAACAGGTTATGTTCCGCTTTTGGGAAAATATGAATTGCATTAACCTCTGCAAAGTCCATTCTAGTACTGCACCTCCTGCTTAGGCTAGTCACATCATATGAACTTGACTGAAGCAGTTTACTGGGTGGCTAGTAACTGAAGGCTGATTCTTCACTAATTTAATTAAAATAGGTTGAATTTATTAAGGTTATCAATTAACTATGGAAAAAGATGAATTTTATATATGGCTCTTCTGGAACTTATTCTGGAGCCTCAAACAATTAAAAGCCTTGTAGAAGAGAGGTATTCTAATTTTAAAACATTGATTGTTCATGAGAATAGTCTCAAAAAAAGTGTAACATGGATCATAATACTTTTTTAAGTGGAATAACAAGCAGTGACAGACAACCTCACATGCTTTATTTTAATTTAAATTCTAATGAAAAATTGGAATGGAAAACTCAAATTCTTTGAACTAGGGCTGACTAAGCAGTATTGGCTTGGGATACTAATGTTTGAACACCTTTAATTGAAAATGCTTTTTTGCTACTTAAACTGAAATGTGTTAGTGTTTCACAGTTAGGAACTTCCACCTTTGCAGCCTATCTTCAGTTGTTTCTTTCAGTTTATTTGGAAACTATTTTCATCTTGCAAATATGAACTAATTCTTGTTTTCATGCACATACATGTAGCATAGCTTTGCTACTGGTAAGTGGTCCACTTGCTGAGCAGTCATTTTAGAA